TTATTTAGCGAGGTGGGTTAATTTAGCGCCAGTTTTAATTCAAATTATGAATCTACAGAATGGTCAAGGCAATATCTTCTTAAACTTAAGCGTTAAATAATTTTTAAATATCCGAGCGTTGATAGAACAAATTAATTTAATACACTTATAAACAAGTAAAAATGTATCATTGTAAAATTAAATTATATACCATTAAATTATATATTTATAGTGTCTAGTTTATTAAGGCCAAAAATTGGATTATTAAAATGAGATGGGTCATGATATTTAAATGTAATTATCCTTTCGTAAATACCATAGTTAATTCTAGTGACATGAATAATATTAAATTATTGGCTTTGCCTACTACTTGTATAACCAAATAAATAAATTGTACCTATTAAATATTATAGATTTTAAAATAAGAATAATAAGAATTTAATTGATTCTCTCTGTTGTATAATTCACTAATTATAGCTGAGCTTGTTACATTAATTTAAAATCTTTTAACCATATATATATATTAAGAGTTTGATACTGTACTACAGCCATATTTGCAATTAATTATAAAATTAGTAAATTACATATTTTGAAATATTCTCTTAATTAGACATTTATTTTAAAACACATTTGATGTAAAAATATTTTTCCAATGTATACAATTAAAATGATGGAGTACATAAATATAAATGTAGCAAGCAAACAATTATATGCGCTCATCAATATTTACCAGGTATAAATGTCATGTAAAAATTATAGTAATATTAGTTATTATTTTAGCAATAAACTAATCATGTTCAAGTCTCATTATCTATTCATATTAATAGAGTATTAGTGTAACTATTAACAGTATAACAATAATTATTTGAATTTACAGTAGTTGTTTACAGTAATCTGGGTATAAAGTAATTGTTATGATCCTGTTTCAATTAATTGCGATTTAATAAAACTTAATAATCTTGCAACTTAATGAAAATGTTATTATAAAATAGTCACTTGAACCTATTTAAATAATTTATATGCTTAAAAATATACACCATTCACCTATGGTTTATTTATTACAGATTTAAAATCCACTATGACATTACGTATACAAAATGAGCAGCATCATTTTACTTATCAAATGTGAGTATTTAAAATTAACTTAATCATTTGTGACCCATTTGTAAATCTAAGTTTGGAACATCGAGGCATGATAACATAGCATGGATCAGTTTAAATATGTTTGATGAATATGTCATTTATTATTACTTAAATTACTAAATTATAATACATAATTACCCTATTTAGTAATAAAAAGATAACTGACTAACAACCTTATTTCAACCAACAACCGACAATTCAGTTATTCCCTATTGTTAATATTATTTTAATAATAATAATGTATATTGTAAAAACTTAGCAGGCTTATGTTTTTAACAAATAATTAATGACGGTTTAAAAATTGCATTTTTAATTATATAACATTTTGTAATAAATTGATTTAATTTGTAATATTAAAAAATGTACAATAAATTTCATTTTACTTATAACTTATATGTCAAAAGTATATTAAATTATTTATTATGACAAAACTAGTTGTGTATTAACAATAAATTATTACAATAGTTAATTGATAAAATTATAAGTATAGTTTAATGCTAAATTTAATTTTTATATTATTATCTAGATACACCATTAGCGAGTATGAAGTGATTAAAAAATAATTTTAATTTTTATTGCTAGTTGAAGCACAATTTAAATTTTAAAAGTTTTATAATTATAATCATAAATTTTGCTAATTTATAGTTTGGTATTGGCTTATTCAAATAGAGTTAAATGATTATTCAATAAGTACATTTTATCAAGAAATACGTTTATAACTAGATGATTTAATTTAACATTAGTTAATCATGACTTAAAATAAAGAAATACTTTAATTTTACTGTTACCAAGCTCATAACACTTACTAATTAGTTACGATTCAAATTATACCCAAAAATGTGCACCAATAAATAATTAATATTTTAATACTAATGACATTGGTACCACTTTATGTGCACTTATTAATTAATATTAATTACTTATTACTTCAATTAATTTTTATAATTCAGAAAAATGTTTCTTATAATTTACTTGAATTTAAAATTTGAGTTTATTTAAATTTTAAAATATTTCCAAATAATTTTAATATTAAATTAAAATCATTTAGTTAGCATAAGGATAAATATTTGTAATAAAAAACTCTCAACAAACAATTTAATTACATTTTAATGTTGCTTATGTAAATTTAACATTGTTAATAGAGATATTGCATAAGATTTTATATTTGCATAAATAAATAATAATAAGATTTTTAATTATGTTGATAACTATTTACAGGAAGTGTTTACCAAATAAATTAGCCAGTCAAATCGCTGTTGACTATATTACGATAATATTTGCGGACAGTATTGCCAATATACGTGGTGTGTATCATGTCCACAAACTCCACGCCCCCTCGCAATTGTACGGCATTTGGCTTATTATCTAATAATAAAATAAAATTTATATTTAAATATAATAATAATTTTAATTTTATAAATATCTTTATAATAATATTATTTTAGTAACTGATTATTAAATGTAGGGTGAACATTTTATTTAATTAAAATAATTATTTTCTAAAAATTTAAATTCCCAATGTAATTAATTAGTAACAATTTTGTACTGTAGTATTGTACGTTAATTTACTAGATTTTATAATTTATTAATTATTTAGTTAATTTACTATTTATTGTTACTATTACTATTAATTTTTATTACTAATAAAATTATTAAACTAATTAGTTTTAAAATACAATTACTATTAAAATAGTACTTAAAGAATTATATTAATACATTAATAATTTATTAAAATACTTTGAATGAAAATAATGTGTTTTAACATACTGTAAACATTTATAATAATAAATGCTATTTAATTTAACAAAATTAAATTTAATGACAAACATAACAATGACTTTTTAGTTAACTATTTTAAAAATGATTTTCTTAAACATACCTTGCACATATTTTTCTAGCTCCCCCTCGGGAATGGTATGTCCTTTTTTGACCACCACATACGCCCTCAACCAATGGAGACCTATGTTGTTGTTAACCCCCACCACCACCGCATCATCGACCCCCTTATGGCTCATTAAAAACTCAGCTAATTCATCAGGGTCTATTTTGACAAAGTTATTTAGCTCGCACATTTTAGTAAATAATTTACTGTGTATAACAGTGTGTTAATAAAACTAATATAATGTGTAATTTAATTTTAATGTGTTTTTGTCAAATACTGACTGTCATTATATACTGTTTAAATAACAAAATATTTATTTACCATTAATATACGATTACCTTGATTGTATTGAATTTCATGTTAATTATACGAGTTATTTTGACAGTGTAGTTCACTATTCATGACAAATTTATTGTGAAATTAATGTTATTTAATTTTCTTATATAATGATTTTATTTATTATTACACAATAATGCACTGTATTTTTAATATTACTACCGTCTGTCGCAGTATGTCTACATAATGTGACATAATGTAATATGCAATACCAGTATACTGTATATTGCAATTCAATTTACTTCATTATACTTCAATATACTTTTGTAAAATTTGTTTACTATTCAGTTGTAGCATATGCAGTATTTAGTTTAATCAAGGTCATTATTTATACGAGTATTTGCAAATTGTACAGTATAATGTAGAATTATGTGTAAATAAATTATTACTTTACAATAATTGTCAATAAGAAAATTGCTGTAAATAAATGTAAGATTATAATAATTATAATAATTAATTATTAATAAAATTATATTAATAGTTGTTAGTTAAGTAAACTACATTTTATATTAAAAAAATAAAACAAATATTAATACTGTAGCAGAGTATTTTTAAAAATTACCATGCAACTTTATGATAGTCTACGAGCTCTAAAAAACATAAAACACTAATTAATACAATTTTATATTTAATCAACCGATTCAATAAATGCAATGAGACCTTGATAGTAAAATATAATAAAAATACAATACNTAATACTGTAGCAGAGTATTTTTAAAAATTACCATGCAACTTTATGATAGTCTACGAGCTCTAAAAAACATAAAACACTAATTAATACAATTTTATATTTAATCAACCGATTCAATAAATGCAATGAGACCTTGATAGTAAAATATAATAAAAATACAATACAATTATTTTATAATAATGTAGCAGTAAAAATTATTTTCATATATAAATACGTATGACATATTATTAATTAAATTATAAAATGATTTTATGCCGGCATTTGTATCTACTACATTTATACAATAACATAATTGATATAAAAAACAAATTACCATTGTCTGTTTAACATGTGTTCAAAGAGAGTTATTTTACCCGTCATAATTTTAATAATATTATTTGCAATTAGTTCAATATGTTATTATAGTTACCACCATAAATTTAATCAACAACAAACTAAAAATTCAACTCATCTAGGTGATCACCATGACACACACTTTTATAAATACGATATAAACGAGCATGGTCACTGGCGATTTCAATTCCCATTGGGTGCCTGTCACGAGGAACTCCTAAAATATACAAATAGTTGCCTGGAAACCGTACTGGATAACTGGACCCTGGATGACCAAGCTACAAATTCAAGTATGACTGATAGGGACTACTGTTGCTCGACGTGGGACTACATGTTATGTCTGATTGAAAAGGCTCGTACACTGAATAATGAAACGTGCCTAGATCA